CACTTCAAGAATAGAAGTGCACGAACGTAAATCCACACAAAGACAAGAATCCCCACATGATCAATTTGCTAGTTTAGTTGAGGAGGTTCAAAGAAGAAATAGGGAAGAGAAATTTTCCTTAGAAAATTCTCTCTACAACTTTTAGTCTAAGGGTGGCAAGAATGAACTAATGAATAGGGTTACATGCCTTTTTATAGGCAAGCCTTAACCCAAATTACCCTTGCATAATTACAAGAGTGCCCTCGACTAATATCTAATTTAATTAGACTTTACTTAGTGCCCAAGAAAAAATCGGTTTGGTATTTTATTTTTATTGCTATAACTGTACAATAAAATTTCACTATTTAAATGCATATACACCAATATTTATTCAAATAGCATTATTTATTCATTTAATATATATGCCAATATATATGTTTGAATAAATATGTAATCTTTCAAATTCAATCCAATATTTAAATTGGACATTGGCGACAACCTTCCTGCAAATTAAAATTGCACTGTAAGAATTACCAAAATACCTTTTGTCCCAAAATGTTGAAATTACCCTTATTCCAAATCCTCTTTTGATTTGCCTTTTAAGTGTGCGACTTGTGGGCTCCTTATCATATTGGCAGTGGGCAATATCGCAATTGACACTAAATTAATTTTCTCATTACACAGAGATCAAGACTGGTCTCTAGCCAGACATCATGGCTACCTAATAGACTCGGATTCAACATATCAATTGCCAGTCAATGGTATGGTTACCATGCAATCGAGTCCTTTCATCAACTACTATCTCATCAAGGTTTGAAGTACATAAAAAATTTCAACTTCAAATATACTACCTTGATCTGTTTGTAATCAGTAATCCAAACTAATGACTTGCTAAAATAGAAATTGAGCACCAACTCAATTCCACTGTGGCCACATTTTTACAATTGTTGTCATTTACTGAATTACTTTGTGAGATAATTTCTCCTGTACCCAAGAGTAATGAATCATGTGTTGATCCACCATAGCCATGATATACTTCTCAATGTAGCCAATAACTTTCATTCTGATAGCCTTAAATAGGACTACGTTAGGTGAGCGTCAAACTACACCAATAATCACACACGGTGCTCTTGTGATCTCAAGTATTATGATCATCCCAACCGCCATCCGTTAGAGGATGTATTCCATAGACATTGAGATTACCATTTATATGGAATCCTCTAGAGGGTCGGTCCAGTGAACTTTCCAACCGCAAGCACCTATGTGTTGCACCAAGTTGTCACCAAACAACTTTAACATGCAAGATCTATTACTATCTTTGATAGGGTTGTTAAACGTGTTAGAGTGGATGTCTTAGAGCCAATCATATTTGATTGTTCGTGATATCATAGTTATCAAATAAAGGCATTCTTCTATATTATGTAAATCATATTCTTACATGATTTGATATATGTCCTAAGAGTGGTAGAACCATGACGAGGAAATCAAGTGTTTTAAATCATGATTGTGAGGACCCTATGATCACATATAGTGGCCATTCTAGAAATGTTCGTAGCCCCAATATTGTTCTGATGTAGGGCATAGATAATACAGTAAGGCTATCATAGCGTTAAACGACCCTACCAAAAGGTAGTGATAGATCTCACATGTCAAAGTTGTTTGGTAACAACTTGGTGCAACGTGTTGGTGCTTATTGCTTGCAAGTTCACTAGATGGGCCCACCAGAAGATTCTATATGGATGGTAACCCTAGTGTCTATGGAAAAAATCCTTTAACGGATGGTGGTGCATGTGATCCTTAGACTTGACATCACTAGAGCGTCTTGTATACCTATTGGTGTAGTTTGGCACTAGCCTAACTTGGTCTTATTTAGGGCTATCAATACAGTAGTGATTGGTTGCATTGAGAAGGATATTGAGGCTATGGTGGATCAATATAGAATTCATCACTCCTGGGTGCAGGAGAGAGTTATCCCACTGTGCAGTTTGGTTAAGTGGACACGACACATAATCTGTGGCCATAGTGGGATTGAGTCATCACTTAATCCAATTTTAATTTGGTCATTGATCCGATAATCAGATAATAACACATTAGGATAACATCTGAAGTTGACACTATTTCTATGCTTCAGCCTGATGGGATAACAGTAGATGAAATGATTTGCATTACACGGTAGCCATACCATTGACAGGTATCAGTTCTTCGCTGATCTCTACTTGTTAGGTGACCATGACGCCTTGCTAGAGGCCAATCTTGGTCTATGAATAATGAGATGATTAATTGGTGGTTAATCACGATATTGCTTATTGCTAACATGATAGGGAGCTTGCGGGTCACACGCATGAGGAGAATTGATTGTGGCATGTATATTTAATCAAAGAAGGGTTAAAGGGTATTTTGGTCTTTACATAAAGACATTGGTAATTTGGTAATTTTACATGGGTAGGCACCTATGTGTATTTATTGTGTAAGAAATAAATTACCTAATCAATATTTAATATATTTATTGAATATATTAGTATTTACTATATTAATTAAATTACCCTAAAGAATATCAAATGTTTATATTTAATATTAATTGAAAAATAAAATTTCTAATTAGCTGAGTAATATATGTAATATATTAATGCTATTAGGAAACCTAATTGATACTATTCTTATTTGGTTTAGGATTAAAACCAAACAAGGAAAATAATTGTATCCTATTCCAAATTGGAATAGGGTTTTAAGTTGCCTATATAAGACAACTTAAAATTAGGTTTAAGTGGATATTTCATTCAATAAAAATTCGAGAGAATTTTTTAGAGAGAAAAACCCTAGCCGCCATTCACTGCCTCTCTAGCCACCATTCACTCATTCTCTAGCAATTGAGATTTTCTTTGATTAATTTGTAGGGCTCTTTGTGTGGATACTGAAGTGCAATTTTACTCTTGAATCACATTGTGAAGAAATCATATTCTGGTTAATAGTTTCCGTGAGCAATGTTTGTGAATAGTGTCAGTGAACAGTGCTGATGAATAATATGGTGAACTAACAATGAACAATATCAAAAAATTAAATGCGAAGGAGCCTCCAAACGTTAGTACGTAATCTAATTCTTGAATAGATTAAGTTTTAATGTATGTAAGCGTCATAATCTATGCCTGGATTCATTGGGTTCAAAGGTATAATCGAAATTCTTTTATTTTCTACTGCGTTATCTATCGATTAATTCCTAACAGTGATATCAGAGCCTTGGGTATTTGACAATTACGTTTAATTTTTTATTAAAAAGTATGTGATTTGTTGGTTACAAGTTTTTGTTTGATTTTGATTTGATTGAATTGAATTAAAATTTATTAATGAAATTTGTTGATGATTTGTGATTGGGTTTTGATTGGATTGCCTCTAATTGTAATTAATTTAAATTTTGTGGAAACCCTAAATGTGTGCCACCGTGAGTGGTGGCGCACGGCTACTATGCATTGCCGTGCCTAGTAGCAGCAGCCCACTGTTACGTGTTGGCATGCACAGCAGCGGCATCATGTTGCATGCTACCGCACACGCAATAGCTTCGTGGCCGCGTGCCAACACCGTCGCAAATAGTGCTCTAATGGCTGTGTGAACATGCGCTAACTAGATGTACTTGGTTGACTCCTGGGAGAACTGAGTAAGATGGGCACATGATTCCTGGGAATCAGCGTAAGGGACCCGTATCGTATGTGAAGGTGCTGAAGCGCCTCCCAATAAATGATGGGAAAATTAAATGCTTTAAAGTGGTTCAGCCGAGAAAGCAAATAAGGCCTACGTCCACTGATTTGTTATTTACATGTATGGTTTTAGGATACAAAGGAAGGATTTTTTCGGTGATCGAAAAAATGTTTCTAGTTGGCCCTGTGGCCTGAGATTAGAGAAAGTGGTGTTTTGCTGCTTTTTCTCTGTATATCAATGTGTATCCGCGTGTATGTGTCTGTCCTTCCTCTTCTTTTTTCTTCCCTTTTCCTTTTTTTTTTTTTTTCCCTCTTGGCTACTGTTGTTTTATATGGAAAGAGAGTTTCAGGAGGTCATGATGGTGAATGCATAAGCCACATTGTCTGATGTCGCACAGTGGCCAGGAGCTCACATGCCCCTATGTTGTAGCTAATGATGGATGTCCCCACTAACAATAGGTGACTTTATAGGTATCCTCTTGGTTGGGCTACATGGAGAGAACTTGGAGCTTGCATGGCCGCATGCCACTCAATCAGAGTATGCGGCTTATACATGCTGAGTTGATCTGTCCAAGGGGATATATATTTTCTTGGTTTGGCCCCCTTTTTTGATCTCATAACACCTTATGTTCTCGCTTTTATGCTAAGTGCTCCTGCTTCTTCACCAAACAGTCCTCCTTTCTGGCCTTGATGCTCACTCTACACTAGGAGGTGTCCCAGGGGACCCAGGCTCCTCTACTTAGTCCGAGCTTCTTTGCTCAATCTGGGCTGGGGATTTTTCTTGCACAACAATCTATGATTTATTTTACAAGAGGTTTCACTACATAATCATAATAATTTCATTTTACTATGGCGTACAGCTTTATATACAGCAATATAAAAATATCCATTATATAAATAAAGCATATGATCTTTGGATTTCAACGATTATGATTTTTTAATTTCCCATACAATTAATAAATTTGTAAAGTTAATCCAGTGCATAAGAATAAACATAAATTAATCGGAAGTTATACTTCAAAGCCTCCTTTAAAGAGATAAAGATTGAAATTTGATGATGATATATGATGGTACAGGCTTGATTTTAAAGAGAGATTCATTCAAATTGAACTAAATATAGAAGTGTTAGAAGCAAACTGGCACGACCAATTCTTATCTCCAAACAAACTATTCATCCTATTAAAAGCCCTCTAATCCCTTTTCTTGAGGCTTCTAGTTTTTTTCTCAACCACATATTTTCTAGGACAACTAATTCATCGTAATTAATTTCTCTATTTTCATACAATCTACCTTGATCCTTAATCCTCTCCCCTCTCCCATTATCAATTTTTTATGGGAGATCCTCAACGAAATCCCGCTACAGATGCTCACGGCATCTTTGGCATCCCAAAAGCCATGTGCAAGACTTACAAATTTGTCACCAAATGGAATTCTGATAACAAGAGTAGTCCAAACAAATCCGCCGCTGAGGAACACAAGTTTGAAGAAAAATTTTCTGCTTACATGCAGGTAAAATAGTTTCCCCAAATTATTTCCCATTTCATGCATCATTCATCTAATATTCATAGCCAAATATACATTATAATCCAACTGTTCTTTTACTTTTAAGCCTTCAATTATTCTAAATAAACAGTTGAAAATATAACTGGTTACGTGGTAACTTTTCTCATTCTTTGAGGGAAAATGCTGATTAATTATTTAAGCTTGTTTTACAAAATGTTCTGAAAACTGTAAATCATTCTCAAAATTGTTCTGGCAACGATTAACTAAATAAATGAAAACAAAATTAAACATACCTTAATAATTAATTCTTTATGACCATACGACTGGCTTTTTTTTTTTTAAATCCAAGCTTTGATTAATTGAAGATAATAGAGGGAGAGACATAACTTATTATTATTGTTATTATTACAGTAAAACTTCTCTATAGTGATACTCTATATAGGAATAAACTCCATATAGTCATAAAAAATTCTAGTTCCAATTTGGGATAGTTATAAATAAGAATAAGCTCTATATTGTAATAAATTATAATTTTTCTAATTCCCGTCTTAAGAAAAGTTGCCTCTACATAGTAATAATTATCTGTATATTACAAAAAAAAAAATATGTTATGTAAAACTAAAGGTTTAAAATGAAATTAAATATTTATTTAAAATTGTTTGGGACAATGATTTATGTTTTAGAATTGTTATCACATCTTTTACCTTACGAGTACGTAATAGCTCGTTAGCATGAATACCTTTTTGTTGAAGCCAAAATATTTTTAGTTTCTCAAGCATGTTTAGAGCTTCATGGCACAAGACTTTTTGTATTTCCGTACTATTGTCTTTATGACTATTTCCTTTCTCTTCTTGTCTAATTGCAACAATGATTTCTCCTTTAGTTAAAGCATACACGATTTGTTGCTCATTTGGATAATCGAAAAAGACATTAATATTCATTCGATTAGTATAGTGAAGTTATCGAATTTGATCACTAAATTATATAGTGACTCTTTTATTCTCCTCATCCACTTCATTTATAACTTACAATTCATTGACATTAGTGGTCCTAATTTTGCAATGCTTAAAACCATTGACAATTGTCTGTGGCTTCACATCAATTGACCATGCATCAACTGCATTTATAGTTCCATCAATGACACTTATTTTTGCTGGTTCTAAGAAACGATCTTTTATCCGTTTGAAAAGTAGGTAATCGAAACGCTGAATTAATCCTAATATTACTAAAACATGAATTGAAATTCAAATATTGTACTACTAAAACATGAATTATAAAATAAGAAATCAAAACTATAATTTTTATAACTACACCTCCATCAAGAAATCAAAACGATCTTTTATTTTTTTTTTTTTTGGGGGGGGGGGAGAGCAAAGATAATGATCATCGAATAAAAGGGTTTAGAGTATAAAAAAACAAATTTAGAAGGTTATACTAATGTCTAATGGAGGTTAAAGTGTCAAGTTCAACGGTTGGGTGGCCATAAGGTTAAAAAGTGAATATTTAGGGATAAAAATGACAAATTTCCATGTAAATTTTAAAATTTTGTGAGGTTGCCACCCAGGTCAACACATAGCTCCGGCCCTAATGGTATAACCATTAGAAAGTCCTCTATTAATTTTGGTCATTCAGTGTTATAGAAGTTTATAACAATTTTCGCCGAGGCTTTGTGGAAGTTTAATTGTTTACATGTCAAAATATATTGTTTTTCTTTCAATCAGGCGCAAGTAGAGGACAACACAATGCATAGGGTTTTTCATTCAAAAAGCATAGACGATAGCTTACTTTCACGCCAACCATCGCTTGGAAAATGCGCAAGTAGAAGGAGCCACACGCCTTCACCAAGATCATCCTCCTACTCCAACATGACTGCCAATATGAGTAGGGGGAGCGAAACCCCTCAAAGAAGTTCTCTTTCAAGATCTAACACTAGAAAGTTCACATCAGAATCTGAAACTAGAAGTAGCGGCACATCAGACGCCAGTCAGAATCCGAGTATGTCAAGAAATGCAAGCCGGCGAAGCCCTATAATATTCTCTCAAACCACTGCTGCTAGGAGGAAACCTCCACCGATTGAGAGAAAACTTTCTTGCACTCTGGAACAATTGTGTCTTGGAGGTGCCAAGAAAATCATGATCAAAAGAGAAATCGTCTTGGATAATGGGTTTGTATCATTCTTTATTTCCCATTTATATTTCACCATCTTAGTTTTTTTGTCTCCTTACTGCCAAATTTTAGGGTGACAGAACTAAACAATTTCCCTTTTTGCTTAAAACTAATAGATATGGACTCAATATTGTATTAGTTCAATAGACCTCCTTACATTAAATTTTAATATTTTTTAAATTTCTTTTTATCCAGTTAAATGTGAATATTCAAACTTTAGACCTTTTATTATCAGCTAAATGGAAGGATTCGAACATTAGATCTTCAGTGTTGAACCTCTAAGCTTAAGAATTTTCTTTCATCAAGCTGAATGTGAGGATTTGAACTTTAGACCTTTCATTTATCCAGTTGAATAAAGGGATTTGCAATTAACACCTGTGTTAGTAAACTTCTTGCTAAAGCAAAGGTCTAAACCTTTTTGCTTTAACATTAGTGCAATAGACCTTCTCACATGAAGCTTTGATTATTTTCATTTTCCTTTTATCCAGGTGAATATGAGAATTCGAACTTTAAATCTTTGGTTTTGATACTATATTAATTTGTCATCCCGTTTACAACCTTAAGCTAGTAGATGATGACTCAACATTATATTAGTGATTACTTTTATATAAAGGGAAAACAACATATAAGAGAATATGTTAACCCGTCTTTTGAACATATGTTTTCAGAACAAACGTTATATGATTTGTTTTTCTGACATCTGACGTACTTATGGCAGGAATGTTATGCAAGAAGAAGAGTCATTGACGATAAAACTTAAGCCAGGATGGAAAAAGGGAACGAAGATTACATTTGAAGGAAAGGGGGATCAGAAACCAGGGTATCATCCAGCTGATATAATTTTCCAAATCGAGGAAAAAAGACACCCATTGTTCAGAAGGGAAGGAGACGATTTAGAGATAGCAGTGGAGATTCCTTTGGTTCAGGCTCTCACTGGATGCTCTCTTTCTGTCCCTGTTTTAGGAGGGAAGTCAATCGATTTGACACTTGATGATATCATATGTCCAGGCTTTGAATTGGTTATTCCAGGCCACGGTATGCCGAATCCCAAAGAAAAAGGAAAGAGAGGTGATTTACGAATTAGATTTTTTGTGGAATTTCCGGTCGATTTGACCGAAGAACAACGTTATGAAGCTTCTAAGATCTTGGAAGATTGTTCTTGATCGATCACTCAAGTAATTTGGTTTTTTAACGTATTTACTTCTAACTTTTGTAAAATAATGTAATTTAGATTAACATAAAATCATGAAATGTTTTAGTGCATTTAGTATCGTGGATTTTAGTAATGTAATATTTAGTTAGAAATCAGTATATGTATTAAACTTCTTTTTTTCTAAAAAAAAAACTTTTTGAAGATTTCTTAGTAATTGAAAGGCGTAATAGTCAGAGGTAAGTCATATAACCTGTGTTGATCTCTTAAACTAATAAAGATAACTAATAATTGAAGCAAGAATTGGATTAGTTCGTTTCAAGATTTCTCTGTGTAGAATATGGTAGAAGAACTCTTATTATTTCATGCTAAATTATTCTTGTTTTGCCACCCTTGAAGCCAATCAAACTATGACTACATGATTTCTTTAAATTATATGTTCGAAAAAGTTTTTGTTGATCGAAGATGCTATGCTATGGTATGTTGGGGTTAGGAATGCGTAGCAGAAGCGCCCGATTACCTGGATTTTAAAATTTCCTCCTCATAATGTCATTTTGATCGTGATAGTGACATTTTAATGCAAATAACACATGTATATGTGTATAAGTATCATAAACAATTATGCATATAATATATCAATATAAAATACATAAAATACAGAATTAATGAGTAAGTGAAATGTTATTGACTCCTTTGTTGTATTTTTCTCCTTGTCGAATGCTCTCCACGTACTCCAAGTGTTAGTGGCGGATCCAGAATTTTTGTCAAGGGAGGCCTCCGCGGCTCTGCCATTGTTTGTCAAACAACTAGTGAAAACTTTAAAAAATCATTATCAATAACTTGAGATAAAAGAATGCAATAACACAATAACTTCCTACTTTAATAGATCTATGAAAAGCAAAATTTTGAGTAAATGTGTTGAATAAACCTTAAACAAAACCCTTTTTTTTTTTTTTTTTTTTTTTTTTTTTTTCTGGTTATAAAAAATTTTTTATAATTTTTTTTTTTTTTTTTTTTTTTTTATACAAATTATGATGTAATTTTTTTTTTTGGCTTCTAAAGATTATAATATAAATTTTCATAACTTTGATTAGACATAGTTTAAGCTAAAGTCAACTAAAACTTAAATCAAGTTAATGTTGTATTGACTTTTAATGAATTAATAAAAAAATGAGGAATTTTCTTGGTATAAATATAGATAGTAACTTAAATTTCTTTAACAATTTTGAGCAGTTGAATAATGACGTTTGAAATGTAGGAGAGTGGTGGGTGAAGAATAATGTCCTTTAAAATATAGTTAATGTTTTAATTTGGAAAACCAGTTTCATTCTTAGACACAAAACACAAAATAAATTCACAAGATCTGTCTTTTTCCCTCAAATTAGAATAAAAAACCTCCAAAAAAATAAGCTTGATTCAACCCTAAAATAAACTAAATTGAAATAAGCAATACACATGCCTAAAACTAATAAAACAGAAAACGAAGTTAATTGTGGCACCTTGAGTAGTGAAAGCTTCAACAATTTCAGTCTTCAAAAGTTTTAAAAGCAAATAGCATGAATAAGAGAATGAGAGAGTAAAGAATTTTGGGGATAAAATTATAAAAAGCAGGTGGAGTCGTGGAGAAAGTTTTAAACTTTTAATATGATATGGGCTTGGAATATATATATTAATAACAAGTTTTTTTGTGGACCTAATTATACGTATAATAGTTCTCATTTAAAATTTGAGGGTGAGCCTGGTATATATATTAATAACAATTTTTTATGGGTCTATATATAATAATAATTTTTTTTTTTTTTTTTTAAATATGAGGGGTTGGATCTACCCCTACCAAGTGTGGTACCTCTAGATTGATACATGCAGGATCTCAAGTTGATGAGGATTATCCCGGTACTATGGAATCAAGAATAATTTCTTGCTTGTGATGGAAGAGAATATGGAGAGTAAACACTAAGAAGAATAGCAAACAGATTGCTAATCTTCTTGGATGTGTATTCAGCTAAGAAAGAGTGAAAAAACTTATTTTCACTCTCCGTGTACTATGGCCGAAATTATCCCTCTTGCTGGCTAAGTGGTTTTTTTTTTTAATTTTTCTTGTATATTGTAGTCTCTTGTGTTGATTAAGTGTCCATAGCATTTGGGTAGTTGGAGATTTAATTATTCCAATTAATTTTTTAATCTCCTATTCACCTTTCATTTAGGAGCATTTGCCATATTAGAGTTTTACAATTGGTATCAGAGCTTGGACTCTTGTATAGGGAATCAAGATATGGAAAAACACATCAGCATCTCTCTTTAATGAGGGTAATTGCACTACTAGACAACCATTTTTTTATGGTGTAAATTACACACAATGAAAGATTAGGATGAGACTACACATTAGGTTCACAGGTTACAATTTGTGGAAAATAGTAGAGCTAGGGAACTCTGTTCCCATGAACCCTAATACAAGTCTTCCTAAAGAGGAAGAAGAGTATACAGTTGATGATGAAAAGAAATTGAGCTTAAATGATAAAGCACTTAATATTTTGTTTTATTCTCTTGATGCTACGGAATTTGGAAGAGTTTCAACTTATGAATCAACAAAAGATGCATGGGAAATTCTCCAAACAACTTATGAGAGAACAAGTTAGTTGACAGAATAAAAAATAGAGATGCTTTTATGAGAGCAAGAATTTTTTGAAATGAAAGTTGGAGAAAGCATCACCGACATGTACAAGAGATTCTCAAATTAGTGAATGATCTCAAAGGCCTTGGAAAGAAGCTTAAGACTCTTGAATTAGTTAGGAAGATCCTACGATCCTTACCGGAGAGTTGGACAATGAAAGTGACGTCTATAGATGGTAAAAATCTACGGTTATAGAAGGGACGAATCCTGTGAGGTTGAGGATGCTGATGATCTTCTAGACTTGCACACACAAAGTAGTAAGCGCGAAGCTCACGGGGGACATTGGTGTGGTGTCTACCATAGGCACTTTGATGCTTAAGTCAGTGAGGCTTGAAAGGAAATATAGTGAGGGCTAAGGGAGGAAGGGTTACCGGAATCTCCTCGAATGCTAAAACTATGGCGAAGGTCAAAACTTTAGAAGCAAGTAAGTGGTATTTAGATTGAATCCATAATGAGATGGCAGTCCCGATTTACTTGCCTTAGTAGGAGTAATAGTCCTAATTCATGTAAGATTCAAGATCTTGGATGAATTAGGATGTAGGTGAAAACCTTAGATTGATTGGGATAAAGATGGAATCTGTAGATGAATTAGGATATGAATGGAACTTTGAGTTCATTGGAGTGGCCATGGGCCAATGGGCCTAAGCCCAAGTAGGCTCGTAACAAGGCCTACCTCATGGAGCAGCTTTAGTTGTTGAATAATCCAATCCATGGAATGGGTTGACTCACAGAGTGGATCTTGGCATGGCCCAACCGGGGTTGGACCATGTGGCGCTGGACCATGCAGGCATGCATGTCATTTTTTGGCTTGACAAGGCCCGTACGATTTTTTGCCCATACAATGGCCATTGAAGAATCCAAGGATCTCACCAAGATGAAAATGGATGAACTAATTGTTAGATTATTAACATTTGAGATGAAGAGAAAACCAAAAGAAGAAGAGAGCAAACCAAGGAGAGAAATTGCCCTCAAGACATTAAATGAAGAAGAGGAAGATGATTCCTCCATGGAAGAAGATGAGACAAATTTCTTGGCTAAAAGATTCACAAAATTTCTTGAAGGAACAAAAGATTTAAAAGAGGAAACTTTCAAATGTTAAACCAAGAAATGAAGATGAGAAAGGCAAATTGGATATAATTTTCTATGAATGCAAGAAATTGGGCCATATTTGAATTGATTGTCCTCAATTGAAATGGAAGAAGAAGGACAAAAAATACAAGAAAAAGGTTCTTGCCAGCATATGGAGTGGTAGTGATGACTCTAGCGATGAGAACGATTCAAATGAAGAGCAAGTAAAGCTTTGTCTTATGGCCGATAAATGTGATTTGGAAGAAGACTTTGAATTTGAGGTAAATGACTCTGAACACTACTCTTTTGATGAATTACAATAAGTCATTGATGGAATAATTTGAAAAGGCTTCTCTAAGAAATCTTGTTTTAAAGAAACAAGCATGCATGTTGAAAAGTGAGCAAAGAAGCAAGGAGCAAACAAGTGGTATCTTGATAGTGGATGCTCAAGACATATGATAGGAGACAAGAGCTTGTTCATCTTGTTGAAGCCAAAGAATGGAGGAAACATTTGCTTTTGTAACAACTGATCAAATAGAAGAGTCATTGGAATTGGCTTTATTGGTAACAAGTTTCTAACCATCTATGAGGTGTTGCTTGTTGATGGATTGAAGCATAATTTGTTGAGTATTAGTCAATTGAGTGACAAAGGTTTCAAAGTTGTTTTTCAATCCATGTGTTGTGAAGTTATTGAGTCTAGCGATTGCATTTATAGGTTATAGACATTCAACTGTGTATATTGTTGATTTGTGTGACATTGCATCCAAAGATCTTTGTCTTTTGTCTACAAAAGAAGAAGATAGTTGGTTATGACATAAAAGGTTAGGTCATGCTACATGGATGTCATTGCAAAGCTTTTTAAAAAGGACTTAGTGAATGATTTTCCTAAGTTTGTTTTCAAAAGAGATCATATTTGTGATGCATGTGCAAAAGGCAAACAAACTCGAGTGCTTTGCAAACCCAAACACATTGTCTCAACTTTAGACCTTTACAATTATTGCATATGGATTTATGTGGTCCCACAAGGACAACTAGTCTAGGAGATAAGCATTATTTTGTTGTGATTGTTGATGATTTCTCACATTTTACATGGGTGTTATTTCTTACACACAAAAATGATGCTTTCAAATCATTCTTGCACTTGATTAGGAAACTGCAAAACCAAGTAGGTTGTGTAATTGCATGCATTAGGAGTGATCATGGAAAAGAATTCGAAAACACTGATTTTGAATCATACTGCAATGATCATGGCATTGAGCATAATTTTTTTGCACTTATGACTCCTTAATAATATGGAGTTGTTAAGAGGAGA